AATTATACAGCTCAGATGAGATCATGCATGTCAAAGTGCTTTGAAAAATATGAAGCTCTGTAGCAGTGGTGAGTGAATCTTGTCATCTTATTTCATTTAATGTTCACAACATCCTTTGGGATAAGTGCTAGTAATATTGGCTTTGAGGAATCTGAGGTTTTGGGGTATTAATTTTTCTAAAGCCACACAGCTTTAGGAAATGATGAGGACAGCTCTCAGACTCAGACATGCTGGACTTTAATGTTCTTTGACTTCACATACTATAGCCTTATTTTCCTGGTACTTGAGGTGGTATCACTGTCCTGGACAAAGTCAGCTTTGCTGAATCTGATCAGTTGTCATGCAATTGGTAACATTTTCATGGTTGGGAATCAGCTCTAGTGTGGATGATGAGTTTATCTGTCAGTACAAGAGCAGGGCTTCGGGGAGGTAGGGAAAGGATTGCATTTAAGTCTAGCTTTTGAAAATGAATTATATAATGAAATTATTTCATTTTACAAATAAATCATATGATGGCACAGTTAAGCAAACTCTTCTCTAATGGGAATAATCTGTCTCATCAGTTCAGATTTTTGTTTCCTGGGTATCTTTCTCTCCAGTAGCATTGATATTTATTCTACTTGACCTTTAGGCTTTAGCTCAAATCTCCCCACCATGAAGCCTTTTCTAGCCATCAAGCCCTTTCTCTTCTCTGAACCCTGTGATTAGTCATTACAGGCAGATATATGACCACACAAAATATTATGATGAAGTTGAGGCTGACTCACCAAACCTTGGTATCAGGCTCATTACATTATTGTCATACGTCATACTTTTAATTACCTTTGCCTTTGTGCACATCTTTCTCCAATTCCATTGTAACTTGCTTTTGAAAAGGATTAGCTTTAATTTTTTTTGTACCTCCTGAAGTTTTGTGTGTTTTTTCCCCATGAGTTTTTCTTGTCTTTTGTCTTCCAGAAGTTTGTTATATTGAGGTAGATCAAGGTACATGAATATGTAATTCAGATACAGTGTGGAATGCAGAAGTGAGATGGTGGGGGTGGTCTCCCAGCAAGGGTAACTTCTGAGGATTAAGGATTTGAGTCCACGGCAAAAATTTGATAAGGGGAGAAGGTCAGAGAGTCAATCCAGGTAGAGGCACCTGCCTAAACAGAGGCACAGAAATAAAGAATGTAATGTATTAGGAAAGTAAACGAATGATGTGAGGACTAAGTGGAGATTGTTACAGAGAGGCCATGAGGGAGGAAGTCATCATATGATAATGATAATGGCAACTTGAACCAAGGGGCTATGAGAACTGTTTAAAGAAAGAAGTGGAATGGTGAGTCTTCAGTGTTAGAGAGATGCCTCCAGTAGCACCAACCTCAGTTGACCTGCCTGTGTACCCTTTCTAGTGTTKGGTCTTGGTCTCTGTGGACAGGAGTTTGAAATACACAGTTGTTTCATTCATTCCGGGGAGGTTCTCATAGGGGCTTATGATCCACTCCATGTTTTCAGCATCATTTTTCTTTTAAGAAAGATGTTGAGGATTAAGTTTCTTCCTGAAACTTCTTTCCTCAGTGGTCTGTCTGCCCTAATTTGGGGTCTTGAACAGAGTAAGGGTAGYAAAGTTTCATGGGTAGTTGTTCTGAAAAATACCATGAGCATTGGGAATGTGTAGACAGGATCAGTTATGAGCAGAGAGTGCAGGATCTCTGTTCCTTCCATTTAATCACTGCACACCACAGGGAGCCAGAGAAAATCTCTTTGCAACTTAATTGTAAAATACTTGGATGATCTTTCTTTACCTTGCCATCCCTAGTTTCTTATGTTGYTTCTAGACTCTCTGCTGTCAGAGTGGCTTCCTTGTTTCCCTCACCAGTGTCCTCGGTGTCTAGAAGCAGCAGAAACCTTACAGCTGCTGGGATGTTGCAGTGGGAGGCAAAAGGCAAAGGCTCTTCTTCTCTGCCCTGAGGCTGGCAGGGCAACTGATGGCTGGCCTTGAATCTGGGACATACTCTCTCTCCGCACTCACAGCCATGTGAGCCTCTTCCCAAGAAGGACTATGGTTTTATGAAGTAATAAATGATTTGGTTGCTTTCAAGCTGGCAGATTGCTTAGCTCAAAGGATTGTTGTGGGAATGTAGAAACCTGTAATGCCGAGTCATATATCATTGCTGATCCTTTTTTTCTTGAAAAACTAGTTGCTTGGTACCTGGAGGACAGAAAGACTTGACAGAACGACTTCAGCACAGAAGGCTCCTAGTTTGAATTGGAGTAAGCTATCACATAATAAGATGCAGCGAATGTTGGCAAGTGTGGAGGGTCAACTGTGTGTTCTCTCTAACCCAAACTGTTGTTAGGTTCATAGAAGTTCAGTGATTAGTTCAAGACTGAAATAGAAATTTCTGGAACTTTTGAGATTGTTTTTTWAAAAAAATTGTATTTGGAAGGGCTTTTGTTTGTTTGTTTGTTTTGTGCTGTAAAGAATGGCAGTAGCTTTCAGTGTAACTTTTCCAGAAGGCCCAGACACAGCTCTTCTAGGGTTAGGAGCCTCAGGGTGGTCACTGTGGCATTGGGGAAGGAAAGACCACCAATATTAGAACAGGTACCTAACATTAGGGCTAAGGCCTTGGGGTCTGACCCTAAGTTTCTACATCCTTGGTAAGAGTGTATTATGTATCACCTGCACACCTCTGAATGGCCCTGAGAATCAAACAAGATGAGGCTGTGGGATCCCTTTTGCAAACTGTGGAGGAAACAAGAGGCCAGTCAAGGCATGATGCAGGCCCAATGGCTACTGGGACAGAATTGACTCAGTGAGGTTGGGGCCTGTGACTGGTATTGCACTGATTGGAGAGGAGGAAGGACAGAGAGATTTTCCCATAAAACCATATTAAAAAATCTCATCTCCAGGGGTCTTGGCCAATCTGGCAGTTGGGACTGGGGTTGCAAAGTCCTTGTGAATCATGCAACTCAATGAAGAACTGCATGGGACACTCACAGACAGCTAGTTAATATCTGGAAGAAARGGATCAGACTTCTGGACACACTCTCTCTCTCACCCAAATTCTCCCTGCTTTTCTTTGCTGCCTAATCTCTAGACTTTGTTTTCGTAGAGAAAGCAGGGATTTTTCCTTCACAGATCATGTGCATTCTTAAAGATACCTTGTACTTCCAACAATGTGCTCTTTCTGTTTCCTCATCCTATTGTAAGATTTACTCAGGTCTCTGGCTTTGTCAGTGAAGCAGGTGTGGTCTCAGGAGGAAATGATGCTCCTGGATCCCTCACTCCTCCAATTCCAGAATGTCTCCTTTGGGCAAAAGTCCTAAAATTCTCTTAGAGACATTCTGTTTGGGTTTCATTGTTCACAGTGGCTGTCTGCTGGCTATGTTCCAGTGACCCAAAACAAGATCTAGCATAAGCACTTGTACTCTGAATTTGTGAAGATTTTTTTGTTTGGCTCTGGCTAGAAGCATGCAGGTAAAGTTGTGGTTGTATGTAAAATTGAACAAACAGCACTGGACACTTTTGTGTTGCTCTGAGGAGGTAACTCACGTGGGTCCCTTCATAAATGTTGCAGCACTGCTCAGAAGAGAGGGATCGGAAGGAGAAACTGAACAGTATGTCTTTCAATTCAGTAAATATTTATTGAGTACCTACTGCGTGTTGCCCTCTAGCAGATATTAGAATATGTCTCATTTGGAACTTCAGGTTTGTTGCCTGTACATTCCCCCAAATGCCCTTGAGTTTATGATAAATTCCTTTCATTAGCCTCTTCTAGAGAGAATAATTGCATACAGGACATAGAAAGTTGCCTGAGTGGTAGGAACCCTTTTCTTGACAGTGCTTCAGTTCCCTTTACCCTGTGTGTGTGTATATGTGCATATGTGTGTGTGTGTGTGTGTGTGTGTGTGTGTGTGTGTGTGTTTTCTTTGTTTCTACATGCTTGGTAGATAGTGGCCACTTCACAGTTTCCAAATTTTATCTTACATCCAGACCCCAGTTCCCCAATTCCATTCACAGGCAGGAGTTAAATGGCTCTACTGAATAGACATTCTAAATTTCTGGGAGAAGAAATCTGATTGGTTCAGCCAGCTCCCATGTCTTTCCATAATCCAGTCAGGTTCTCAGAAATTAGAATGAGAACTGTGTGGTTTCCACTCAGCCTTGGGGATAGGGGAAGGAGAGGAGACCATCATCAAATATGGTGAACAAGACTGACAAGTCCTTGATATCACAGAGGTTACAGTCTTGGAGGAAAGAAAGACAATAAACAAATATGCAATGCTATGATAGCCAGACCTAACCTCACTTAGGAAGCCTGAGGGGTGGGTTAAGCAAAGGAACAGGAGAAAATGGATCCTGGGAAGGAGCAAAGTGACAAGTAATTGATGAATTTTCCAGGTGGAGTTGTCAGAGGAAAGAAAAAACCGAGTGGTAAGGAAAAATCTGACTATGTAGCAATGTGGAAAAAACAAACCTTTAAAAATTATTCAACAATGGCTTGATTATGTGGCTGTTCTCTTTGGCTTGGACTGCAAGTTCTATGAGGGAAGAGACCATCTTTTTCATTGCCTTTGGAACCACTTGACTCCTGGAGAATTTTACATGGCCCGGCATGTTCAGATTCACTGTAATGTAATGTCTTGGTGCAGTTTTCTCCCCAGATTTCAGCTGCTCATGTTAAAATATTACATGTTTGAAGCATACTCTCTCACCCTTCACTGKGAAGATGAATTGCATATTCTCATAGAGTGTTTTTTCTCTCTCCAGGTTGTCAAAGTGGGATAAAGGGAAATTATGGTCATTTTTGGAAGGATCAATAATTGCCATTTTTCTTTCCTATAAAGTACTGTTTTTATGTCACACTGTGCACCCCAAGCCCTCGAACAGATGTTTTAACAGACATTGTTGGCTGTATTTTTGTTTTGAAAATTCTGAAACATTACCGAAAGAGGAGAGGGCTAGGGAAAAAAAAGAACCCATAATTGATTCTAATATATATTTAATTTGGCAGAACTTGAGAGAGACTTGCTGGGATAAGGCGGGACATTTCTTTGATCTTCCAGACTTCTTATCATGGAAGGCAACAGGTGTCACAGCACGGTATGTTAATTACAAGTTGGATTTTATTTGCACTCTTCCATTCTTGGGTGTCTGTGTATATGTATTGCTTTCTTAACTCTCTTTGACTGGACATTCTGTTTGTACATCTGCATGCGATTTTGAATACTTGAAACATCTTGAGTCTATCTTCCATCTCCACTACACATGCCCAGATACTATTCCAATTCCTTCGAGGCCAGAAATGTGAGTATCCAAGGTGAAGACCATTCCTTAAAATGGACACATTTGGAGGAAACATGAAAAATCTGGAGTAATGGTGCCTTTTTGCCCAAAAGCACCTTTTCCTAGGCAACTAAAAATTAGGGCAGGAGRTGTTTTTCAAGGAAGTTGATTTTAAGTGGATGAATGTGATATGAATTTATTTTGGTTTTGTATAAATGTGCTGGACTCTGTATAAATGGTATACCACTGTAGAGGTATGTATGTTGGAATCAGCCACTATTTTTCAGTAAGTTATGAATGTTAAAAATAAAGTATGTGCTACATGTAGGAGACTTTTACAGAATACTTATTGCATATGAAATTGTGGCTGATATAATTAACAGTGGGAATGTGCCTGGATATGTGCAGAAGATGGACAGSAAATCTGTTCATATATGGCCAGTTTGTTACCATCTTAACCGCAGTTAGGGGACTGCATAAGGGTGAGAGGTTTTCTCAAATTGAGAAGGATTTTGAATCTGGATTGAACAAATCTGTGAGGCAGAGGATCCATTCCCAGAGGAAGAGATAAACCTGTATAAAGTAGAGAGCAGGTGTTGTATCTTAAATTCTGTGCCTTCAGAGCAGGCATGTCCTCCCATTTTTTATTATATAAACTCAGGAGAAGCCGGGAACAGCAGTACCATTCCCCCTGTGCTCCTCCTGTCTATCCCATGGTGCAGGGTTTGGCCTTTTCTTGTGGTGAGTTGATAAGAGTGTGATAGATCAGCAGCCCTACTTCCAGAAGGAGATACTGGTGAAGGCCTTTGATGAGCACATCATTCTTCATGTGGCGTCCACCAGCACCTCCCTTCAGCAGAGCAATCATCTGCCAAAGGTMTCAGAGAGGAGAGCATCCATATGCACATGAAGACAGCCTCAGCCAACCTCARGTACTCACCCCTCTAGTGGTCTGAACTTTGCCCTGGAGGGTGTAATTAGTCACCATTATAGTTTTCACCACTGGGGAGGAGGCATGGGTGAAGACCTCATCTTGGGCATTCCTCTTGTGTGACATTGTCTAAGTTATTAAAAGAATTTCTGGAGGCTTTTTTTCTACTTTTGTGCATCAGTGAAGGAATTGTTCTGATTTTACCAAAATAGACCTGATAGTTAAAATATGCTAGTAGTTGTGTGTTGGTAGGCCATTGGCTTCAAGGCTTATAGGACTCAAAAATAAAACCAAAGATGGAGAAAGACCTGGTTTTCCTTTTCTTTGGGTCTTGTTTAATCCAGCACTTTTATTTCCCCTTGGTTCTTTCTTATGGCTCTGGATACTGTAAACAACTGTTTCCTCGTGCCTGATGCCATATTCAGACCTCAAGGAGGGGGCTTTTTGAAGCTAGTCCCAGCTCACATAGATTTAAATCAAATAGTAAGTATGGAGGTCATATGGTGACTTGTATCCTTAATARCTGTGTGCTCTTGGGCATGTGTCTTTGTTGAGTCTCACACTACTTATCTGCAAAATGGAGATCATGGTACCTACCTAAAGGCTGGTTGGGACAATCCTGTTCAAGCAATTTTCCAAACTAGCTTGATTCTAAGAATCACTTGAATAATTTTTTCAACACCGATTCCCAGGAGTTGCAGTTTTCTGCTTCCTGAAATCTCTATGGGATACACCTGGGAACTTGTATGTTTAACAAGTGCCGGGGTGGCTATTTGGTCAGGTATATTTGGACAACAATAAATAGAATATACTTGAAAGTCTTATGATTCTGAGATGGTCTATACTTGTGAGAGACTGGAAGTATTTTAAAGGCCTAATATAGTGAATTTAAAATTGAAGGGCTTCTTGTTGACATCAGAACATACTTGCAATCTTCCATCTCTGTCTGTGACACTCTCAGATCTTAAGGAAGCAAAACAGTTTAATGCTCAGAATTGATTTATTGGCCATTCAGTCATCCCTGCCATTTTTTTTTTATTGGCTACATTGCTCATGACTCATTCTATTTTCATTAGTACAAATTAACAATCCCCACTCCCCCCACCCTGCCCCATACTTGTGGGCAAGTTCAGACCTCCCTTTCAGKTTCCTTCTCTGCAGAGGAGAGCCTGCAGACTTTGGGCACCCAGCACTCAATTCCTTCTGCATAGGTGGCTGCCTTCTTTTCTGGCCCTCTTACAACTTAAGTTTGTCTTCTGTCTTTTCTTTGTTTACTCCAGTGTCTCAATTCATTTTGCCTTCTTCATTTCATCCTGCATGATCAAGGTGAAAGGAGGAACTTCTCTGAGCTTGATTGCAAATGTAGATAATAATAGTGAGTTCATGAGGTTATTGTATGGATTGAAATAATAGAAAAACTTCAAACATGGTACTGAGAAAAGTGTTTAAGGAATTATCTCCTTTTTTACTTCCCTTTYTCTATCACATTTGGCAGGGAGTATTTACATTAAGTTGCTGGCATAAAGGAAAGAAAAATCCTTGCGGTCCGACTGACCTGGATTCAGTCTCTCCATATAGTATCTGCAAGAACCTAGAGCAAATAGTCTTCCTCCCTCAGCATCGTTTCCTTTTCTGCAAGCACTCTCAGGATTACTAAGAGGTAGATATAATGGAGATGAAATATGTAACACAAAGTATTTAAACAATAAAGGTTTAATTTTTAAATTAAAAAAAAATTCCCCACTGTCTGTTCTCTCCCCTAAAATAAGGATGACCAGGGTCGGAAATAGAAWGTCTCAATGCCAAAATAACTTTGGGCAGTAGAGCAGGAACTTGGCATCCTCTGGGCAAGGAGAAGTAAAGGTTCAGATTTGGTGTTTATTTGGCTCTTACATGTGATTGTTTTGGGTGGATTTGGTGAAATGAGTGCCAAAAAGGCTAGAAGGTGTTTTTCTTTTTCTTTTTATTATTCTAGTAGAGTCTGGACTCAGGAGTGATTGGATTTCACCTTGTCTTAAAGCTTTCAAACTTGTTTTTGGTAGTGACCATATGTAAGAAATTTTTCTCTTCCTCCTCTCCTCCTTCTCTCTTTTCCTTGAAAACATTTTTCCTCTCCTCTCTAGTTGTTCTCATCCCCTGAAATACAGCATTTACTTGTGTTTATTTGGGTCATTGAGGAAATCAGCRCCAGGCTGAGGACTGATTTGTAATTCTGTTCCATTCTTTTCATCATATTAATGAAAATAATTACTGCTATTTTTGTTAATAGTAATAATGGTCACTGTCATTTATCCAGTGCCCTTCTTTTATCTGTGCTAGGCGTACTGGCGAATGTTAGCTCTGTTAGTCTTCAGCAGCCATCCGTGAAAGCAGGTGGTGTTATTTCCATCTTGCAATTCACGAACTTAAGCTGAACACTGTAGTAATTTGCCATGTTCTAGCCATTGAGTGGGTGACTGTCCAGAACATGAGAGATGGTTAGTCAGAGATTCGAAAGATAAAATTTTGTATAACCAGACTAAAATATGTTCATACATATAAATACTCCCTCTAAAGAGATTTGCAGTGACTGGTAATAAATAAGCTAAAAACAGGGCCAGGTTTGGTTCAGTGATAGAGGTATGCTTAGAATACAGGAGGCCCTGAGTTCAGTCTGCAGCGCACGTGTGTGTATGTGCGTGTACTCTGCTCTTTCTCTTACACACACACACACACACACACACAGAGAGAGAGAGAGAGAGAGAGAGAGAGAGAGAGAGAAACAAGAAAAAAAACAAAACAGTGATTAAAATGTAAAAGAATCAGAAGTCAGTGAAAATATTCATAGAATGACTGAGTTTATTCTAGGAATTTCACAGAATCTATGAGGTTCTTTAAACTTACTAATAGGTTGTTTTCTGGGTTCTTTTGACCAGAACAAAGTGGGACATGACTAGGTGAAGAACTGAGTCCATCAAAACCCAACTGTTCTTTGGGAGCCTAAGTTTGTTTTGAACACAGGGGTTTGAGAAAAAGTTTTTCTTCATTTTCAGGGGGCAAAAATATAATGTAACTTATTTAAAAGTATGTTCTAATAATAAAAATAAGTATGTTCCAATTATAATTTCAGACAAACTATTGATTTTAAAATAGTTTACATTTTCAGGAAATTTTCTAGTTGTCAATTCTCAGGAATGATGGTCCTGAAAGCTTGCCCATGCCTTACACGGAGTTCCCTTTGTTATTAACATCATTTGTTACATGTGTGGTGCGTTGGTCACAAGTAATGAACAAATATTGGTGTGTTATCATTAACTAAACTCCATACTTGTATTTGCATTTCCTTGCCTAATGGGCTTCATCTGTTCTAGGTCCCACCCAGGGTAGCACATTACATTTAGCCTTGTCTCCTCAGGCACCTCTTGGCCTCAGTGGTTGCCTAGGCTTTCCTTGTTTTTGAAGACTTCAACAGTTTTGAATAGTATTGGTCAGGTATATGGTGGGCCATTCCTCTGCTGGAAGTTGTCTGATATTTTTCTCACAGTGAGACCTGGATAGTGTGTTTTGGGGAGCAAGTTCACATGGTTCTTTCATATCACTCTTGGAATCACATTAACCTGATTCTCTGGCTGAGATCCTCTTTGTCACATTTCTACAGCTTAAAGTGTTCATTCCAACCCCTGACGCCCACTCCTTGTATACTGTACTCTTTGGAAAGAAGTCACTGTGTCTAACTCTCCAAACCTAAAGGGAGTGGGGAGTTATGTGTGCTTCATCTCTTTGAAGGTGGAAGAGCTACATATATTATTTTGAATTATTTTTGTATGGGAGACTTGTTATTTTTTCAGTTCACTTACTTTTATGGCTTTGGAATGAAGGAAATTGATGACCAGGCTTCTTAGGCCCA